TTTGTGGGTGTTGATAAGACCAATGCGAGGTCGAAACTGCAGTCCATCCTGGATGATAACAACCAAAGAATCCCTTCATCATGCACCTTGACACGAAATGAGTGTCTCTACAACGATTTGATCGAAAGAAAAGCGTCAAATCCCACTTACTTTGTGTATATATGACTGAGTTTATACTCAAGAATTACCTGAAATTCCGGAACCATTTTGCTCACATGAAAACCCGTTTACATGGCTTAAGGTAATTTAAGGACTATTAGTTAGGTTTTTCCATAATAATGCCATTTACTTTCACTTAGAATCATCTGCCAAAAGGCTACCTCATCCAGGCTGGATTGTAGTTTCAAACTTATATAGGCCTCATCAGTATCCCAAAACGGATTCTCCACTACACGGCAACAGGCTCCAGGACAAAGGTGACATTCAAGGCAAGTCAAGTTTCCCCCATATCAAAGGTATACTTGGGCTGTCAATGAAGCAAACATGTGTTTGCAACCACAATCGATGAGTTTACTTTATTTTAATGTAAGAAGCTTTCACACCACCATTAATTCTTGAATAGTTATAATAAAACTTAACTCTTAGTCTCGAAAATTATTTGCAACGAAAATAAGGTTCATCCATGTCTGCAGCAGATTAGACGGTAGCAAATTATAGCAGCCCTAAGACAAAAAAGTTTCCTTGTTGGAAGGACCTTCATTTTGTACGGAAGTGCATAAGGAAGAGCTTTTAAGGTCGATCTCACCACATGACAACAACTGATTCACGTTGTACTGCTGCCGTATGACTTTAGTATGCCGTTCAGGTTGACGCAGCCCACGAGACATCCTATCTATCTATACCTAAGCAGTTTCGTTTATCAGTAACAAGTATAAATAAGAGGTAAGATAGAGCTATATAGTCTTCTTGAACTAGTGTTAACGTAAGACTTTTACAAGAATGAGTCCCAGCTCTGAAGATGTCCATCATATGATGGACGAAAGCTCAACCCATTTTCATTCGAATAAAGGGCGGATGTCTCGTGGACTGCGTCAACCTGAGCGTCATCTTAAAGCCAAACGGCTGCAGTCCACGGAAAGCAGTTGTCCTTTTCTAGTAAAATCGACCTGACAAATCTTCTTCTACGAAATGAAAGTCTCCCCATCAATTTTATCTCGTATTTTATCGTCATAGATACAAGAAATTTTCCATTTTGTTCTTGACCCATGATAATGAAGTATTGCGTTTTGCTGCGTCTCATCATAAACACTGAATTGCGCAAATAAGTACAGCAGTGAAATAGAGCATAATTTGACAAGATGGCAGACGTCTCACCTTGGCGAATAGGGACTAGTGGCTGCTGAACTGCTGGCATTGCTGGAAGCCTTCGAACCGGGTCCCATCGTTCCTGTTGCCGCCTTTCCCAGACCACTTGAAAACAGGTCGCCCGGTGAATTGGCAGGCGCCCCGCCTGGTGTACTGGGCAACGACGACGAGCCACCACCACCACCAGTCCCGGCACCAACGCCAGAACCGGAAGCGAAACAGCCGGGGAAGCTGGAGGCCTGCGGGGAGCCCGAGGCTGAGGAGGATCCCCAAGAGGCCACGGCGGCAGCCGCCATTGCAGCCGCGGCAGCGGCTGCGTAGAAGTTACCGCCATCACCGGGTGTACCGGAGGTACCGGCGGCGCTGGAGAGAGCGGGGGAAAGAGGACCAGTAGGAAAGCTGGCAAGTCCGGAGGTGCCGCTGCTTTCAGAGTGCCGATTGCAGTCTGGTTGGTAATTTTAAAAAATGAGATATTACAATAAATGTATGCAAAAAATGAACTCACATTAATTGACGCAAGAAAGCTCAACACGCTTTCGTCGAAACCAAGCGAGTCTGCTTCGGGAACATATTCCCTTAAAATGTTCAGATAAAGTTATCTGAAAGCTGGCCAACCTGAATCGGCCATTGTCTTCTGGTGAGATGGACTTTCGAATTTTTTTATCACAAGCCTTTCTCAAAAGAGAAATAAGCTCAATAATTCTAAAGCAAGAAATCTCTTAAAAAACAAGTTTTCTCAGGAAATGCACGCATGCATAAATGTGGAAAATTGTATATGTGTATAAGTGTAGACATATATCCATGTGTATAGATATAGGCAGATTACTGGTTTTCGGAAAAAAAGTAGGTGACTCAATGAATGAGGGCAGGATTCCCACCAGTTTCATGTTACGAGATACTGATTTTGAGGAAAATCTTGGTATACCAGTGCTTAAGTGGCTTTCAGTATGAGGAAAGACATAGGCTCATCTAACAAACAAATAATGAAGGATTCCCTGCAATATGCAGTTGCTTGACGGTAAATTTGACGTAATTTTCGAGACAACTTATTTCGTCTCTCAGTTCCACTTAAAGTGAGCTAAGCTCTCATCAAGAACAAGAACATAATACGCCTAGATCGCTCAACGTGAAGTAAGGAATAGTAATATGAGATGTATCTCGAAACAATACTTAAATGCTAAAAAAAGTAATAGTAGCTGCTTTTTCCCACAATCAGATGGTTAGGCCTCAAAATGCCATTAAATTTTACATAATCTTGCTATATTTCTAGAACTACTGATAGGCTCGAACCCTACTTATAATAAAAATAAGTAGCTTCGTGGATTGCAGAAGCAAATACGTGTTTGCCAACTCGGTATTTCCAGTATAAGTGTGATTTTGGAGAAGCTTAGTCAAGCTTGGCCTGAATGTCACACCGTTACCCATGGCTGTTGAGAGG